GAGACTAGTGGTTTTTGGAATATTTCAGTATTCCATTCCTCTTCTTCGACTGACTGAAAGACTTCTAGTGATTGTTGGTGCAATTGCTGCCTTCTAATATGTCTCCTTTGGGTTGCTTTGCATTCTTCACATTTTTGGTTGTCTGTTGCAATCATGTCCAGATATATATATATATATATATATATATATATATATATATATATATATATATATATATATTTGAAATAAACAAAACTAATATATATATATATATATATATATATATATATATATATATATATATATATATATATATATATATATATATATATATATATATATATATATATATATATATATATATATATATATATATATATATATATATATATATATATCAACAAATAAAATAAGTAACTTTATCTGAATACATACTTGTCCATCAAGACAAACTTAACAAAAGTTGCGATTTCTTGATTTGTGTCCAGTATGAAACTTGTGCCTGCGTCTTGCAGGAGGTGCATCCTATATAAAAAAAATTAAATGAAAAAATGACCAGTATTTAATTTTTCTTCCATTTACATCACTGTTTTCATCATGTTGACGATGGCTGATGGATACTTCATTTATTTTTTCAATAGATTTGATTAATTTGATTTTGTTCCCCCGAACATTATTTACAAGAATGCTCACTTCTTCTTGTAGAAGGCACTTTATTACATCGATTCCGCCGATATTTTGCTCTGCAAGAAAACAAAGCATATTTTACCAACAAGACATTCACAATACAAAATATGAACAAGAGCTGATAAAATTTTTTTGGCTCAATTGTAATGAAATATTTACCTTGTGCTACAAATGCTCCCTCATTTAACCTAAGGACACGAAGGATTTCGGGTGAAAAAAGATGGATGTACATCACCAACTTATTGCAGTGCAGTGGCGAAATACCCATAAAGGATTTTTTGGAGAGATATATCCGTCACATAGGTATAGACATTTTTTACCAAATTATTGTCTGTAGTTCTTTCTGATGAAATCACGAATTTTCTAAGATACTTTTATTATTTTGCTAAACAAATAAACTATAACCAACACAGTGCTATAATAATATTATTATACTGTGCTACCAAGGTAAATTTATGTAAAAAACATCTATAACCGAATCGTAGATCGCAGCTTTATATTGCATCTTATTTTTTTAACATTCTATGATTGAATAGTCAAAAGTACAACCAACAATGAGTGAGATATAAAAAAAACAAAGTAAATAGTAAAGTAATCTCTTTGTTTGTTGTTTATAAACTGTATGTAAGTTTATTCCCAGAAATTTAAGCAAAACCTTTTATCACGTTATCTTTGTTCATTCCACCCATTGTTTATTTGTTTTTAAATAAATCCTCTTAGGAAATCATGTATAAACCAGCGACGGCTCGTCAGAATAGGCAAGACCCTAAAATTTTGGCAGAATTTAAGCGGTTTATTACATTACATTATTTACTATCCAATACATAAAAACACTGTTAATACACGGAAGTGTGTTTTAATAATCAATATTATTTTAATATTTGTGGTCTTGTATATTAAAATATTCACTATCGCTGGCGTACGCTGACTGTGCCTACTATGTGTACTTGTGTAGAAAACAAAATAATTTTGACTGTTGGAGTGCCTTTGTTCAGAAGTGTCTAGTTCTAGCAGTCAACTATTAAGCTTGACCAATCAGGTTGGTTAGCGTGGTTATTTGGAGTGTGTTAATTCATTTGCGTTTGTCAAAAACTCTAACGTGATTGGTCGGGCTTAACAGTTGCCTGCTAGGACTAGACACAAGTCCTCTGTTCGGCGATTTCTCCATCGCCTACTATCAGAGTCGATGCACAACGTACGGCAGTCTTCTATCTCTGTCTAACTCATCGTGCGGTAGCATAACGAGACGTGAGTCGGATTGTTATCGTATTAAGGCGGGGCTTAGGTGAAATCTCCGATCGACTTCGCATGAAGTCGTGGAGGCTCGGTAGGCTTTGAAGTTAAGGGGATATTTCCGATATTTCATAAGGGGATATATCACATTTTGTTAAGAGGATATTTCATATGATTCATTATACGTAGCATTTAAAAATTTTATATGAAAATTCAAAAAACGTTTAAAGTAAATTGGAAATATTTTTCGGGCTTGTCCTAAATTATTCAAAATAATATAACCGGTTATATTTCAGAACATGCCACAGAAATAAAATAATATGAAATAAAAGCGCGTTATTTTATTCGGTGCAAGACGATACAAGAGATTACAGAAAAGTCTCAGTGTGCTATTTCAATTCGATATGTTAATAAAAGCGGCTAAGTCAAATATCTTTGCGAATTTTATTTTATGAAATATTAGATAACATTGTTATACATTTAGAAATAAGGCTTGCAGATAGGTACTCGTATGTCTCAATTATTTTTATTTATCTCTTGCGGATCCGAAAGTTAAAGAGTACTATAAAAATTTCCAAAGCGTTTAACATCTGATTTAACAAACTTGTTATATTGATACATTTCCAATACATTTAATAGTGATTTATTGACCAACGTAAATTAATGAATAAATTGCAGGTATTAACAATAGATATAATTTCGATTATAAAATAATTTAAATAGAATAATCCTAGAAATATATTTCCAGAGGCTTTCAAATTGTTTTTTTTATTTGTTACTACACCAGAAGTACTTCGGTTGAAAGAAAATTTTCATGTTTGAAATACATTAAAATTTATAGTAGAGATTCCATGAAAAATAAACGTTTATCGTCACTTGCCTTACTTTCAATCTAAAAAGATCTTTTCACAGCTCTTCAACATCTGATGATTTTACTGATATAATAATAAATCACTTTTCTTTATTAAGAGACCGACTCATCAATTTAATATATAAAACATAATTATTCTTTCTCTCAAAACTACCAATTTTTAAGTTTGCGTAAATAAATAAAAATAAAATAAAATTCTATGATATACTTCAGTGTGACTCCATAATAATAGATAAAAATCATATACTTGTGCATTATGTCAATCGTTATGTCATTACGTTGAAATCTGTTATTTTTGCTTCTGTTTTGTCCTAAATATTCTTGAGTTATGTTTTTAACCTAGAGATAACAGAGGTATTTACAAACTGGGTTAGGGTATTGTGTAAAATTAGGGGGGGGGGAATAGACGCAACTATAATTTTGTCGCCTACCCAGTCACAAGGGTCACGAGCCGCCACTGGCATAAACAAATTCAAACAACGCCTTACTGTTTTTACGTACCTTGAAATGTTGACAGCAAATGTTCTAGGCGCAACTTGGCCAAAAATTCTTCCACGCTGCTCATTGCTCATACTCGTCGACAAAACACGCACCACTTGCTGGTTGTTCAAAGGGACCGATGATAGTAATACTAACATGCACGTAACAGGTTGATCGTGTCACGATGCAAATATAGGCAACAATTGCTACTTATGCCAAGAGCACCGGCTTGCTACCAAAAGCATGGCTTTCAGCTGAAAAGTTTGACATTGGAGATAAAAGCATATAATTCCAATGAAAGGAGTATCCACGAGTAAGTTGAATCCACGGAAAATTTGGTCCAAATGCAATAATTTTCTGCTAATCCGACTTGCCAAAAAAAAACAGGATTTTAAATAATTTTGAAACTCTTAAATTTGACGTGTAAGTAATTCATTTGCTTGAAAGGCACAAGGCAAATGCATGGTGAATTTATCCCAATTCCAGTGGTTTTGTTTGGCACAAAAGCAGTGCTATTGAATTGAAGGAGTCACCCTTGGCAAAAAAGCGAAAACGGCAAATGCGCGGAATCATTTGCCATTAAAGCATTATGTAGTTTTTTCAGTGGGTCACTTCCTGTTTCACCGGAAATGACTACAACTTTCGATTTTCAAATGGCACATGGCAGTCTCGGTTTTTTTGCTTTATTCGATAGAAAATGACATTCTGGACTAAATAACATAAATGACAACTTTTGACATTTGCGACTATGGTTTATTTGAAATTATAACATGGCGGTTCATAACGAAAATTTGACTGAAATACCAAGTGATATCAAATTATTCTAATGAGCCACCTTCGTTCCATTTGAAAAATTGAGATATGATTAAAAATACGATTTGGGCATTTTTTAACCGGTCAGGACAAGACACTAAAAACATTAGTAAATTAGTGTTTTTATCACGGCTATGGTACTCGAGAATGAAATTTAAAATACGATTTATTAAGGGAAAATGTCAAAAGTTCTATTCAGAATGTCATTTTCTATCGAATAAAGTAAAAAAATACCTGGGGTGTTATTTAAAAATCAAAAGTTGTAGTCATTTCCGGTGAAACAGAATGTGACCAAAAACAATTGAATACGTCAATCAATACTAATTTATCTCACATACTAACATACCGAATCTCGTTTTTTATCTGAAAAAATAAAAAAGTTATAGGGGTGAGCCACTTTTAAGACGCACCCGGTATAAAAGCGGTCGATAAAAGAGTATTTAATACAATTTTTTAAATAAAAAACAAGCATCATTACACAATGAAAATAAGATTATGACATATGATTATGATAAGATTATGAGAATATGATGACAATGAAAAGTTGGTTTTCATAACAATTAAATGTATAATTTGTACTTTCTAAACCGTATAAAATTGTGATTATTTTGGAAATACGTGCAACTTTTTATGGGCATGCGCAAAGTAAGGTCCTCGGAAAAGACAAACCTATTAAACATTTCATAAGTGCAACAAAGAAGGTTTGAAAATGGCATGTCGTAATGTTGGAGACATATTTTTTAATGCTAAACTTATGGCGTTAATTTATCCACTAAGTATATATGACCTAGGACCACAATAGATCTGAGAAGGTCGCAGTGGATCAGGCCAATAACCACCTTAAAGAATCTAATCTAATGTAGGTATTACAACTTATTATTGAAATTTAAGTTTTATATGTGTTTAGATGTGGTATGGTATATATTGATTCTGAGGACATAAAATGGCTACCTTTTGTAAAATCATGGATTAATAGCATAAGTAATCAATTACTTATTGATGAATATAAAAGTTTTTTGCTTAGTTTATTTGAACTCTACGTACAAAATGGATTTGATTTTGTTAAGAAAAATTGCATTTATACAATACATCAGGTAATTTTTGCCAATCATATAAATAATTATAAAGCATCATTCAGAATCCAGAAATTAGTGGTTGCTAGACTTTTTACTTAAAAGTTTACGATAATTTACAATGTTTAAAAAAATTAATAGAATAGCTTTAGAGAACGCCTATAATAATAGTTAGCTTATAAAACAATAAACTTTTGATTTTTAACCATAATGTCTGTTGACGGATGATAATCAAAAGCGGCGTTAATCGCAACTTTTGAAGTATGTGGAGTGGCATGGAAGTAAGTGGAGTGGCAAAGTTAAAAGTTTGTTAATTTCTTCTACTAATTGAAAATTAATAGCACTAATTTTGACGTTCTAAATGCTTATATTGAAACCACTAATTTATTTTACTAATTTGGACGTTCTGAATGAAGCTTTATATTGTATACTCGTATAATATTTATATATATATATATATATATATATATATATATATATATATATATATATATATATATTATATATATATATATATATATATATATATATATATATATATATATATATATATATATATATATATATATATATATATATATATATATATATATATATATATATATATATATATATATATATATATATATATATATATATATATATATATATATATATATATATATATATATATATATATATATATATATATATATATATATATATATATATATATATCTAAAAAGTTCACGATCATTTGTAATGCCTAACTAATACAATTAAAATTAAATCAACAATCATTTCTAACTAATTTCTCTGCAGGGATGACAATCAAAGGCCAAAATAACACTACTCGCAAATTTTAAAGTATAATTAGTGGCAAAAAAGTTTGTTAACTTCTTCTACTAATTGAAAATTACTAGCATTATAGAGGAACAAACTTTTACGCTAATCGAAACCACTAATTTATAGGTTCTGAATGAAGTTTAAGCTATAAATATACTATAAAAAATACTTACAAGAGAAAATAATATCTATAAAAAAATCTTCGAGAGACAAAACAAAAGAACATTAAAAATAGACGCATTACTCAAAAAGATACCAAGTAATACCAAAGAATATTTTAATAAATTGTAATATTCTTTGGGTAGAAAGGTTTTTGCAATGGCGGACTAAGACTGTCGGGCGGCGAAGCTAAATGTGGCCACCGGTCTATTCAGATAATGATATACTTCTAATACACATTTTGTATGTATTAAATTATTGAACATAATTTTCCTGACGAGCCATATACTACCATTCACGGGCCATGCAGTATTAGATCAGGAAATCCCCGACCGAATGTTCGCATGTATTTAATGGCATCTGATGATGACAAAGTGATAGAAATACCCGTTCTACATGATATTTGCCGCGTTACTTTTGCGACCGTTCCAGGGAAATACCGCGACAAAATATCGCGATTTTGTAAGTCCTCCAAGATACGAGGGGCCCCTTTGCTGTCTCAGGCCAGTGGCCCCCGATATACTAAAGAAGGCACTGGCTCATCATCGGTAAAGAAGCTAGAATACAAGTTATGCTGTGCATTAGTTGTAATTTAAAATGTTTATTCAGTAAAAATAAATAATGAAACCATTGAAAAATAACTTAAAAGCTAAAATAAATATATTCAGTCTGAAAATACATAAAAAATAATAATTATTAGATATTTTAAACACAGAAAATTACCCCTTGGTTTAATTTCCTAAATAGAAAATGCCATTGATAATTACTGGGGCCTGATAATTGAAAATTAAGTAAATATCCACTTCCATTTATACTGTTTATAGTTTGCGTATACGTATGGTTTGCATACTCCACCTACAAACTGCTTCATAACTACTGAAAACATATTGGCCTTGTTTGCCAGTTGAATAAAAAATTATTTATTAAGATTCGGAGGGCCTTTAAAAGACGGGGCCCGGGGAGAATAGCCCCTAGTAGTATATAATATTCTTTTGTAATACTTTCAAAGACAATCAATGTGGAGTTATTAGTAATTGATTCGTGATCAGTTCATTTCGCTCTTAAAAATTATCAAAAGAAAATGCTCAGGAGTCATGGTTCTGACCGTAATATTATATTTTAAGAAAATTTACACACGAATTTATTGCTTAGGGTGTTTTAAAATTAAGGTAAAAGAACAACCCCTTGATTAACCCTGTATAATGTACCAAATACTAAAGTTAAAAAAACTTAGTTTACGAATTTTACAGTTTGCTAAAAAAATCATGAAAATAGGGCTAAAAATAACAAAAATATAACACTTTAAATTCGATCAAAATTTTCTCCGTTGCGTTTTTGTGTATGAAACCCACACTGAGTGTACTCACACTTCGCTACTTCACTTCTTTTCTTCGCTTCGTCCCTTCGTATAAAATCCTATATTTATCATGGGTTATTGTTGATTTGATACGACTGTTTGTTCCTTCGTCCCTTCGCTCCTTCGTCCATTTACTTCGTCAAAACGGTACTTCGCCGTACTCTAGGTTTTTGGGCGAAGTATCAAAAAACATCGATGATATTTCGAACAAAAAACGAACACAAAAAATATAAAAATATTTAAATCGGTCTTGGATTTCATCCGTAGTTATTTTTTTTATTTGGCAGTACGTCTGTACAGGGTGAGTCAAATTCGGCGTTTTTAAAGGGAAACCTCTTTTCTATAGGAGATAGACGAAAACTAATATTTTTGTTATGTTATGCTATATTTTTGGAAAGGTAGTATTAAATTATTTTCAATGAATTAAAAATATACAGGGTGTCCCATATAAAAAAATTAAATTTTTTGTTGTTAATTCTTCAATTATTAATTTAAACAAAAAATATACTTAAACCATTAAATTCTAAGTAAAAAGGTGCGTAGGAAATGTTTTCACAAAAATGCAAAATTTTCCAAAGCAAAAAGTTACAGCGATTTGTTAAAAATGCACATTTTTGAAAAACACCCTGTAACTCCCGAATGGTAACAGACATCAATGTGCGGTTTTCGCCTTCATATTTTTGATAAAAATTGAAAACTAACTCTAAACTCCAGACACCGATATTAGTTTTCGTCTATCTCCTATAGAAAAGAGTGTTTCCACAGTTTAAAGAATTCTTTAACCTGTGGCGTTTCCCGTTAAAAGCGTCGAATTTGACCCGCCCTGTACAGGGTGTCCCATTCTCGTGTATTTTGCAGGGTTTCTCGTTTATGAATCGAGGTACAAAGATGCGGTTTTCACATTACGACGTTACTTTTTGATGAAAATGAAGATGCTACATATAGATATGTCCTAGCTCTTTTACTTCCTAAAATACAGGGCGAATCTGAAAATATTTTCAATCCCCTTTGTATCTCAGTTATATTAACTTATCTAAACGATGAAAACGGTGTCTCGTAGGTACAGTTTTTCACGTAGAATGCAGTGACGTAACTAGTTCTTCGTTGGAAGCTGTCTTTTTCTAAAGATGACTAAAACTTCTATGTTTTTTTAAATGCGATAATTTGTATATTATTTTATTTTCCTTGTTACGGGCTTTCTAAAATACTTGGAACTAATTAGACAGCTATGTCGAAGTAACGTCAGACATCGCAGCCACCTAGATTTTATGAAATAATAAAGATCTACTCAGATCAAATCATGTAAATGATATCTAGTAAAATTTTTGTTTGAGGGGTAGGCAACCTTAATAGTATTTTGAAGAAACATGAATTCTCCATTGAATATCGGAGTAATATACTGGGTGTTTATAATATTTATTTTTAACACCTATTTAAAATAAAAGAGTAACATGTTTTTAAAGGTGACCAATGTTCAATATTTATTTTGTCTCACCCTGTATAATTTTTTGTGTCAAGTTTTAATTTGATTTAATATACAATAGCTAATTTAACTACGTATTAGATTATAGCGGGTAAATTCCAATTTAGGTAGGTTTTATTGTAATTTAAAAATTGTTCTTTATTTCTAGAAAATGTTAAATAACTATAAACAAATAATCCCAAAACACCATTTTGATATGTAACTTTTTTTGGCGACTCTGTAGAACTCCCTATATTTTTAAAATGTGCTCTGAATTAACCTACATATGCTCACATAATTTCATCTCAATATAAACTGTCGTTCTCCTTGGAGTAGTGATAGGCAAAACTGTTATTTTTAGATAACAGTTGAAACCGTTAAAGTTATTTATAAAAAACAGCTTAAAATAACAGCTTAAAAATAACAGGTTTCTTTATTTTACTGCTAAATATCTGAAAGAGTATGAGGCGGTCCACGCCAGGCGTATTAACGCAGTTGCAAGTTGCAACAATGACGTGCTCGGTGGTAGTATTTCCAGGGTGTCAAAACATTTCCAAATATCGATTGTTATCTAAAATACCTCTCTAAAAACGGTGGTTGTTTACAAATAAGCGCTGTTTACAAACTGCGATATAAAAAAGCCAAAATTCCGCCACTCGTCTATACCTCTACATTCCGATCTACCTACCCTCTATATCCTGAATTGCGTAGCAGTGTACAGGGTGCATCTCACTCGACGAGCGAGAAGCTCTTAGTTATTATTTTACCATTTGCGGTCAAAAATAGCAATATAACAAAATGTGTAGTATATTCTTCATAAGTAAACTAACTACACACTCGAGTACGAATTAATTTTACACTTAAACTAGCGTGTACCCGCGACTTCGTTCGCGTCGAATTAATAATTTCTAATGGTGATGATCAAAACAAGAATCCATTAACATACAAACTGGATAAAAGTTTCCCACATTTGCCAAAAATAAGCTTTAAACGTCGAGCAGTTTAAACAGAATCGTGGTTAATCAATTACTCAACTTTTTGGAATACCCTGTATGATTTTTTAAAAAATTTCAAAATATGTAAAAAAAAATTATGCGTGTCCAGGCGTTTTCCCGAAAGACTAACCGTTTTTTAAATAACAAATATTGTAATATTTGAGGGGCGTTTTCACCCTGTCGGAATTTGAGATTCAAGAAACCCCTCCTTATCGAACCTCAA